ACGGGACAAGTGGCAACCGACACAGACACCAACCACTTGTTGCGGGTATTTTTATTGGACATACAAGTAAAATTGGGCCAGCGTCAATCTTGTGGAAGAAATGGACACACTATTGGTTGCATGCTTGGGAGGTTTTAGTTACCGTGTGCATTATTGCTGCATTTTACTTTGTAGATATACCATGATGCTCTTGGTTAGTTCTGTATGTCGAGCTTTGATTTTCGCTTTCGTTACTTTTGTGGTGTCAATTGGACCATTGAATATATTGTGCATGTTCGTTGGCCGAGGATTGATAGCCTTCTTTTTTTCTAATATTATTTATCTGTGGGAATTTACGATCCGAAATCACGATATGATTATGACGGAATACACATATAGTGGAAGGCTCCAGATATTTCAAACAGCTGTTGCCCTTTAACGTGCATCCAAGTTTAAATACACGGGCCTCAGGCATTTCACCTCTATTGAAATAGGGTGGCTGCGGTCGCAATTCAATCCCGTGACCTACAGGTCAGCAGCCGATCACCATAACTATTAGAAAGCCATGGAAAAATTTTTGCATCTCTTCCTTGGTGTATGCGTACATTTTTTGCTAGTTTCATAATCATGTATGGAAAGCTAGAATTTATTTCTTCACCGTTTTTTGTGTTTCAAGGTTACCTTTTCGACCTGGCTTGAATCATGTCACAATTGTTATTTTTTATTAGTTTACGGTCACTGCGAAGTGACGAGTGGCAGTCCTCCACCAATTATGCCATAGAGCGTACCATTTGTGTTATCGCTTTTGACAGCACAGCATAATTACGCAAAAATTAGTAATTTGTACAAGGTACGCCAGGAGCTTACGCTCACACACACACGCACACACGCACACACACACAAACACAGTATTTAAATTTTTGAGCAAGCTATATTTACATACTTATCTATTCATTTATTTATTTTAGTGTATTTTCATGAAGGCTGAATTATCAATTCTCATATACAAACAGTACTCGCAAAGCGTCTATATAAAAAGAAGTTGCTTAAAAACAAGGAGACAGGGCTCTATTGTGTACACACGGTGAACAGGCTGTCAGTAAAAAAATATGAGAAGCTAAGTCAAGTTGTGCAATGTGCAGCGCGTAAAAAAAATACAGGTCATACAGTGAGAAAGGCGTCCGCCTGGGTAGTGTAGTAGTTACGGTGTTCGGCTGCTGTCTGGAGGCTCGTGAGTTCGATCCCGGCCGCGGTGGTCGCATTTCAATGGAGGTCAAATGCCAGAAGCTCGTCTACTGTGTCATGTCAGAGCACGTCAAAGATCACAAAATAGTTGAAATTTCCCCAGTGCTGAATTGAAACATGCTTCATAATCATATCATGGTGCTACCCCCAACGTTAGCGTTATGAAACAAAAAAGAAACAAAGTCGTTGATCTGCCACACAAAATTTCAAGCAGTATTGGAAACAACAACATATGCAAGCAAACGAGCATGCCGAAACAAAGAGAAAAAAAACTGCTGAAAAATAAGGAGAAACTGCAGGAACAAAGAACCAAAATAAGATACTAGGTGTATGCCAAGTGTTCTGACAAAATGCATAACAAGGTTTTCATTCTTATGATAGAGACTGAGGTGAAACTAGAGTGCTAATGCGAATAAAGCAACACAATACGCGCAAGAAAGATATGAAATATTATGATAAAGAAGCTTTCATTTATTCTTCGCAGGGTACTTTCCCCACACTGCCCCCTGGCCTTTTATCATGCGTAAAATACGTATGATCAGACTTACTTAGCGCAGTAAGAAACGCAGCACAGAAAAAAGACACACAAGGGACGTGTGTTGCGTTTTTTCGTGAGCTACGCAATTTTCAACATGCATAAACTTGACCCCCCCCCCAAAACTTTGTTTAATATTTATGATGTCATTTAAAATAAACCATTTAATTATTTGCTAATATTGCAAAATAAGACACTTTCAACGCGCTTATCTTCAAAACGCTCAAATGTGCGTGTTGAAATACACTGCTGCTTTCATGTATACAAATACTTTAGGCTAATACGAGGAATCGATGTAAGGTTTTAGACTCTGTAGTTTCTAGTGTAAGGAAAAGGAATCATTGTCAACATTACAAAGCCAACGGCTACCAGTAGCGCAAAACACATGCACAAGCTGTCCGCTTATATCAATTGTGTGTTCATGTATTTCAGCAATATGAGCTTTGAAAGCTGATGTACAAACTTAATAAATGACAGCGAAAGCTTGCAAGAGCACCTATTTCAGGGTGTGTTTGTGCACTGTGATCGCGCGTCGTGTAGCGCGTTTCGCAGGCTGTCAAGCTGCGGTGTGAGGCGGAATGGCGGCCTTCGTAAAAGACGACGCGGCTGTCCTCACCATCAGCGGAACGCGCAGGCATCAAGGCCCCCAGTTCGGCGTAGCTTGGCAGTCATCTCATCGCCATGCGCCGATATGCTTATGTCCCACGCGCAGTTTGGCCCACAGAAAGTGTGGAGGCTAGGTGACTGGGTGCACGCCCTTATCTTTCGGTGGGGGAGAATCAAGTGCCTTCAGACATTTCACTCGCTGCACAGGCCCCATTTGCGAAAAGCGCGCGTTTTCATACACAACGAAGTAACAACTGCCGGACGTTCATTATCTTGCACTGGTCTGTACCTGTGATTACGTTGCGTTCGTCGTTTTTGTTTAAACAGCGCGTTATGTGTCCTGGGGTCTCGGATGGAGCACGCCACGCTCTTGAAGTGAACGGACACAGTAGATATGGTCAGAACGAACCAACACCCTTATTCATTTTACTGCTTCTAGAAAGACAATATTGTCAGTCGAATAATTATACATACATTGTGCTCAAATACGCTAAAACAGCCTTACACATAATTACGCAACACTTAACAGCATAACAAACACAAGTCGGCAGCGCCAACGCCTGACTCACCACAAGGGCCCCCGACAGATATCCCGCCGTGCCATGCACCGGGGACCCACGCGAGAGACTAACGTTCCAGCCAACTGCCACACGCCAAAAATACTCCCTTCACTCTCCTGCGCCGCCAGCCAGGCTTGCCGCCAGGTGTCACCATAGGCGCTACCGATCTAACAACCATGATGATGATGGTGATGATAAATGCTCACGAGCACAACTCCACCTACCGCCCGGTAGTTGTAACCTGAAATGCGGCTTCTTAGCGACACACGTGCGCCACGAAGAGCAAACAACTTTAAAGGAAATGTCAGCACACCCACAGTGGGGATTTGTAAAAGTTGTTACTTCGCTCTCATACTGTGTGTATTGTTTTAGTGCGTTAATTGTGCATGGGCAGCGTGCTGCACGTTTTGATATACTTACCGTTCTCAATGTTACATTCGAAGTTGTTGATATCGCACTCACTGCTGCGCCCTTGCGGCGGAACTGTGACTTTCAGTATCAAACATATCAGTTTTCCAAGCAGGCATTTGCATACAGCCCAGATGTAGTTGACCAAGAAACCACAATTTTTAGCACACCAGTTCAAACATAAGTGGCCACAAGTTGACATTCATGCCGCAAACAGCGCAGTGGAGCAGTGGACTGCTGCGACGCCTGTAAGCGCTGCACATTTCTCATGGGAATCCACGCAGCGTAAAATAATAAAATACACATTCGACATAAATTATTATCTTTATAATAGTCCGTGATGCTCCATAAGGAGAGCTATTTCGTGTAGACGAAAACATAAAGTGTATTTTAAATATTTTACTTCACTTGAAGAAGCGCGCCAGACGCTTTCTATGAACTCTAATCTATCATTTTTACAACCCATTCGATCACATACAATGTTCTGATGCTTAAGACAAAATGCTCTCATAATATGATTATTTATTATAACTCAGTAAGTTGAACATTAAAGAGCCAGTCACCAAGCTCTGACTTCTTTATGCCCCACAAACAAGCTCAACAAATGGTAGTAGGTTCTAGCGATCACATTTTTGGAATATACAGCGCTGCGCGCCACGCAAAGCGTTCAGTGGGAAAAACAGTTCCCGTGCATTTTTGCTGCACCTGAACAACCTCCTTCCGCGCGGATTGACGTCAACTCGGTGATCAGTGCCGTGATGCAGCGAGAAGATCGTCGATTGGTCTAAACCAGGTCTCAACAAACAGTCGACAGTCAACAAAAGTTCCTGTTCTCGAGTTATCCCCCCACAGCTAAGACAGATTTATTCAATCATACAAGTTGCGAAACTTCCCGTAGGCTGCATGTATTAAAATCCGGACTAGTCATTGGCACCGTTTTCGGGAGTCAGCAGATAGCCGCAACACCTGTTTATATGCACACTGACTATACGACACATTATTTATATTTGTGTTGCTGCTCCCAGATGACGCAAGAGACTGCTAACTCCCGAAAAAATGATGCCAACTGCATGTCCAGGTTTCGGAACGCAGTTTCACTGGAAATCGTTGTCGACTGCAAATCGAGATAGTGGCTGCGAGAAGCATCGACATCGGGTGAACAATAAACAGCCAGGCATATCAGCAAGTGCAAGTGGGTTTCGACCAATCGAGTTAGCCGATGACGTCGATTGCTGACATCATAGCACGTTGCCCAGGAGGGCAGAGTAACGACGACGGGCTACGCCTTCCCCTCCCTCTGAAGGAGATTGTTTGAGAAACTGAGCGAAAATTTGGCACCAGCAATGTTTTAACTCCGGTAACTTTCTTATTAGAGCATGTATTCGCATTAATTTTGCTGCTGCTTGCTTACAAAGCAAAAGTGCACGTATTTCTCTTGATAACAATTTTTGTACCTTCGTGTTGTTTATTGCCCCTTTAAACGCCATAAAACAGTCCATGGTCAGGCTGCTTTCGTAGTAAAATAAGGTAATAAGGTTTCGTAGTAAAATATGCTGCAAGCTGCTTTGTCTTTGGTTTCTTTTTATATTTAAGAACAGCTAATTTTTTTTATATCTGGAAGAGCAAATAAAGTACAGTAAACAACATCTAAAATAGAGGGCCGTCTTCTAAACTCGGTAGTCAAAAAAAGCACAAGGCTTAGCAGGCCTCATTCTGGTGGTAATTGGACAAGCGAAAGTTCTGGCAAAGGGCGGGAAGTTCATGACAGCTTTGTTGCAGTCTCCCGTGGACTCCACACCCGGTCGACTGCACATTAGGAAGCAAAGAGTGACGAAGAACAGCTGCCGCTCGGTGAAGCCATCATGAAGACGTTGATGAGAGTCGCTGCTCTGACTAAGTTCCCGCTCTAATGCACTGTAGCTAACCTCGAGTGCCGGTATTTCGGGAAAGTGGCTTACGTAACCACCCAGACAATTGTCAACGTCATTGACTGCATGACGCCACGCAGACGAAAGCCACAAGCCAGTTATATGTCCGCTGCCGTTAATTCGCAGCCCATGTTTGTCCAGAGCACGCACCAACTGGCTGGCGTAAAGGAATCCTAAACCACCATAAAACATGGCCAGTGTGCCCTGAGCATAGAATACAGGTGCCGAAAGTGCTTGTTGGGATATGTGAACTGTGTTAAGTATGTAGTCGTAATCTAGAAGTGGTAGGGCAAGGTTGTGGGGCATATACAGTGCCTCGTCATACATCTTGTTCTTGGACATATTATGGAAGGATTGTCGCAAACGTAGCCAGAGGGGGGCAAAAGTGGTATCGGTTTGGGGAAAGTCGGTGTACATAAGGGATATCGACGATTCATCGATAAGCTTTTCGGGTGGCCACAGCACCGTGAGTGTCGCGTTTAACTTCTCTTGGGCTCGTCGCTTTGACAAACGATCAATGCGCGTAGCATTGGCAACCTTGTCCAGGGCAGCCTCTCGTAAGACCCGAAGCCTTGCATCGAGCTTTTCGCGTTCATCGCTCGGGAAATTGGCGAGTGTGTGGAGTGAAATAATGAGAAAGCGATACGTCCACTCCACTTCTGACAAGCAAAATGCAGCTCGCGCTGCTGAGACCGCTGTCCTCTCCCAGGGCCCGTTTGGTAAGCTTTCTTCGCTAAGCTCTAGTAAGTCGAAGTCAGCGACGGGTCCAACCACCTGCAAGAACAACCAAGCAATGTTCTGAACTAGTTCACAATTTTCCTGGGTCCTGGTGATCTTGTCAATAGCATAAAGTAGCATGTCGTGTGTCACAATAACGTGGTCCTCGCCGGTGATAGCGGGATGCGCTTGCAAGTTTTTGTTTAGCAGATCTATCCATTCCTTCGAAGATATTTTTGTAATGTTCTTTTCTATGTTTTTCAGCATCATTTGTCTTATAGATAACACAAGGCAGGCCTCCAAGAGTTCATGAAGTACAAAAGTATGTACTTTTTCTTCCTTTTTGCTCTCCGTTTCTGTAGCGGGGACAATACCTGGTGGGGCGAAGAGCTCGTAGTACTTGCGCCAATAGTCGAAAAACGCGCCGCTGTACACGAGTTTTCTGTGATGCTTAGATTGCTTGACAATGCTCGCCGCTGGACTAATGACCATGGCGCGCCTCCCATTATGCAGCTTCGGCAGAAGGCGCACATGAAACCACAGTGAAGTGCCCCATTGCAAATCTAACTCAAGAAGGACTCTCATTGGATGGACGTTCGGCTTGCACTGTGCCGGCCAGCTTAAATTACGCTCGTCCATAAACTTTCGCAGCACTTGAACAGTGAAAGTTTCGTTGGGCCTATTCTGGCAAGTTTCTAGCATATTGAGGGCCTTCTTTCTTGCTTCCGCGAAACCCTGCCCACCTTTGAGCAATGAATCAAAGCGCATCGACCACGTTTCCACGACGTCCTGTTGTGTAGAAAGTGACCCATCCTGATATACGCTTGACGCCGTCCAGGCCGAACAAACGAATGCACTAAAGTCCACACAGGGGTCGATGCTTCTGTTCAGACGCACTCCGATGAGCGCTTCGTGGTGACGGCAGTCGTAGCTTTCGCAAAAAAGATCTTCATCCCTGCTACCGCCGCCCAGCCAGTAAGCAAGAATTAGAGTGCCACCCACGACAAACGTTAAGAATGTTAGGATGGCCGCCACCTTCAGTATCCATGTTCTCCTTCTTGTCCATGTAGCTACCAGTGGGGCAGCGGCCTGTGTAGCATAAAACACAGTAAACAAATAAGCTCAAAAGAATGTCTTTGCTCTCAAAACTGCTACGTTTACCAAAGTGTAACTGTACATATAATCCAAAGAGGGAATGGACGGCTACATTAAGCGAACTTTGCTGGTAAAAGCGAATGCTAAACTGGCCTTGTGTGTCGGGCATGAATAACGCTAAGATATATCAATCAGACCAATTAGGTTATCTAATGGTCGCAAATACAGGGAAACCACGGCTCTACCTAGGGAACCACCTAACATGTTTGAAATATTTCGTACAACTCAAAAGGAAAGCTCTAATTCTGTCGACTGTTTAGTTTTGTTGTATATTCAGGAAATTTCAAATAACTAAACAACAATATATATTCATTTCTAATTTGATGTAAACACCAAAGACTGATTACAAATTGATGTACAGCAACCTAGTTTCTGTTTAAGGTTAAAAAACAAACATTGTTCTGGCTGTTTTCGTAATACACTTGTGGTGCAAACATGAATGTTTTGTTTTTTTCTGATTTTAGTCATCCTGCCCACCTCAGCTGGAGCACAAGTTTTAAGTAGTGTGCGTTCATAATTCGTACAGACCAATGCAAATAGCTTTCAGTCCTAGGTCTTAGTATTTTCGAGTTTCTATTTTTAAAGGAAAGTGTAAATAAGGAACGCTCAGCGAGGCAAGAGGTAAGTAATCAAGCGTAAATTTTCGATTGATTGGTTGTCACCGCAGGATTTCTGGTTTAACGTCCCAAAACCACCACATGATTAAGAGAGACGCCGTAGTTGAGAACTCCGGAAATTTCGACCACCTAGTGTTCTTTAACGTACACCCTAATCTGAGCCTACGGGCCTACAGCATTTTGCCTCCATCAAAAATGCAGCAGCCGCAGACGGGCTTTGATACTGTGCCCTATTGGTCAGCAGCCGAGTACCTCAACCACTCGCGGTGACGATTATCATGCCGCTTTTGCCCAGAAGTACCGGGCGCGTGGTGATAATGCGCAAAAAATTATATATAAGGTATGGGAGGTAGATGACGATGCTTATTGTGTGACAAAATGACACCGCAAACATTCCCTTCATTTTAGAGTGTCCCTAGCTTTGAAATGCATCCGGAGCGTGGGAGCACTTTTGGCTACGTTAAAAAAATTCTAGATACAATGCCTTAACACGAAATTCGGGGGTCTGAAACTCGCCTTACTCAACAGGCCGCGTGCAGTAAGGCAATATAGCCACATAAGGACCGCTGCGGTGAAGGAGGTCAAAGTGGGAGTGTTGCGGAAAGGGGGCGTGCTTTGTATGTATAAATTGTCATCAAGAGTTGTCATTTGCAAATAAAGTTTTTTTCATACCTCATGTACAGGTAATTTCCGAAGGTAATAGGGTGACAAGATTTCTACTTATCATTATCGTTTAAAAAGTGACGCCGAAGCACGAAAAAAAAACTTAATCGAGCAGAATAAGCCAACTTTTTTATGTGTAAACGTATGCTTTACGGGCAACTGTTTTACTAGTAGCTTATAAGTGCGTAAGCCAGTAGAAGGTCCAAAATATCTCGTGAGCCATTCTGCCCTAACGATGCTTGCTTATTGCCCGAAAAAATTGTGCAGCGTTTGCCAGGCAGTGCGATTGAGCCCTTAACTATGTGCAAAGCGAAGAATTCTCGTTCTTTACGAATAAAATTGCAGACATGAATCGAAAGCACGTCGTCATCGGGAACTTCGGTAAATTTTGAGCATGTGAGGGTCTTTGAAATGCACTTAAACATATGTACAGGGACTTTCGTCCATTTCACCCTCTGAAATGCCACTGCGTGTCGAATTTATATCAGCGAAACGCAACAGCCACTACGTTACCTCAGGTGATAAAGCATTGCGAAGATGCGCACATCCATCTGCCTTTTTCACGACGCTACGGTATATGCGGATTTTTCATAGCGGGAAAGTCACAAAAATCTTCATCACCTTCGTGGCCTTCAATTTAGCAATACCTGTTCGCCCAGCCACTATACACAAACCCTACAAAAACAGCAGAAGGCAGCACAGAAAAATAAAAAAAGAAATAAACAGAGAAGCGTGAAAAGCTGGGCTGATGGGTTCATGTTTAGATATGAGAAAACCAGCAAAGCACAAACAAGTTTGGAAGAATAATTCACAGTCAAGCACAAGCCATTCCTAGTCTTACAACACGTTTTTTCGCCGGACGTCCAACCAATCTAGTCACGAGCCACGCATACCCAAAAACTTTATTCCACGCATGCGCACACACTACAACCTGTAGCCTGGGATCTGTCCGATAATCAGCCTGACCCAGAAATGAACAGACACTATTTTCCTCTTAAATGCACAGAAGGTTCACTAATACGAACGTGCTCTTAATCACGTAGTTATACAAAAATAATTGTAAGTCGGGCGAAAGTGTGTGCTTGAATGTGCCGTCTTTCGTCCTTGTTTCGGAGTCTACTGGTTTTTTTCTCGCATCAAAAAATAAAACACACGTAGTGTTCCGCAACTCCCGATAGATGGCTAAATTGACAGCATTGTAGACAGCGGTCATCTTAAGCACCATTCCACTTCTCACGTAGACAGCAACAGAAACATCTTCAAAAAACTGAGCATTGGAAACAAAAAAAAAAACAAGCCAAGCTGTATACCTTGCTTTACAAAGAAGAGTGCAGCACGGCGAATCGTTAGGCTGTCAAGCCTACGGTCGTCTGCACACCAGCATGCCGACGCTTTTCCACTCGCTCAATGCAAGCTATGTTCAATGTTTCATAGATTGGAACAAAGATAAAGTTATATAAATAGCATAACTGTTATTCATAAAATGCAATCGTGTTCAGATCTATATGAATATTAGTTATGTCTGTCTTTCTCAGCCTTCTTTTTCTTGGGATAGCAATTACATGGACACTCTTGGCTGGATTATATATATATATATATATATATATATATATATACGAAAACGCAAGCAAACAATCTAGAAAAAAGACTCCGGTGCGCGGAATGTAACGTGCGACCTCCGTGTCGGGAATGCTAGGCGGTAACCACTGTGCTACTAAGAGGTACTTCCATCAATGTTCAAATGGCAAGCTATTTATGTTGCCACCAGCACGTAGTGGGTCGACCGCAAGAGCGGCTCTCAAATGGAGAAAAAAGAAGATCGCGTACTTCTTCTCTGCTCGAGAGCCAGCCACGACTGATGCATCGTCTAGAGCTAGCTCCTCGGTGGTTTTAATCAACGCCCCAGTACTTGTGATTCATTGTGACAAACTGATGGAGGTGCGGGGTAGTCTCACGGATACTGCAGACCCCCCCCCCCCAGGGAGTCGTTATACTAGTCCAGTGACCAAGCCGACGAATCAGAGGATTGCCTCGGGTAGTCGACGATACTGCTCCCACCAAGTCGACAAATCTGACCAGCGCTTCGGTGCAAACCTCGCCAACCAGCACGGAAAGCACGACGTCAAACCGCTATACGTTGGAAAGCCCACGGGCACTGGCGACGTTTCATGGTACGGAGCGCGAAGACGTTGAGGAGTGGTTTGCGGACTTCAAGCGAGTAGCCACCTTGAATCGGTAGGACGATGTGGCGAAACTGGGTAGTGTCTTTTTCTATCTTGAACACGGGGCACGTACGTGGTATCAATATCGAGAGGAGCAGCTGACGACGTGGACCAAATTATCACGCAGACTTCTGCAGAAATATGCCAGTGCTGATCGCGAAGAACGAGCTGAACGAGCTATTCTGCCACGCGTTCAGATGCCAAACGAAACTGTGATCACGTACGTCGAAGACATGACGCGCCTCTTCCGAAGGGCCGTTTCAAGAATGACGGAGGACAAGAAGTTGCGTCGTGTCAAGGACCAGCTTTTTGCCAACCTCGTGCGAAGCCATCCAAAACGGTCACGGAGTCCTTGTCCGAGTCCGTGACAATGGAAAAATGCTGCAGCAGCGATCCGATCAATACGACAGGCAAGTCAGTAGCATGTACACTGCTGACATTTTTACCGCCACTGGAACTAGCAATGACTGTCTACATGAACTCATCCATAATATAAAAGATGAACAGTTGCAAAAGGCTGGTGTAACACCTCATCCTAAGGTTAGCTCTATTGCAACTGTGATCAAGGATGAGCTGCACCAGGCCCTCGGGGCACCTTGCCTCCTGATACAGCTGCGCCAGCTCCTGCTGAATACCGCCGTGAGACAATTGACATACGCGGAAGCCTTAAAACGCCCTGCTGCATCGCCGTCATTGTTGGTTCATCTTGTTCCTGCTATTTCACTCCAGTCAGTGCAGCACATACCGTACTACGAAGGCACGAAATGGAGCTATCATTGATCTGCAAGAGCGCCGCGTCACGTCCTCAGTCCAGCAAGCAATCAACGGGCAGGATGACGGAAGGCATGTGGACGTACTTCCTATTTCTGAACAGAGCATGACACTTCCTGCACGAGCAAGTGTTCTAGTCGACGTAACATGCTTTGGTTCGGGCGATGGCAATGTGGTGGCGGAGACAAATTTAGAACACCTCCTGCAGCAAGGCATTTGTGTAGCTAGAAGCGTAATACACCTTCGTGATGGCTGATCTGAACTGCTCATAACCAATTTCAGCAACAAGCATCGACACCTTTTCCGTGGCACATCGATAGCATTTGCCCATGAAGTAGCAAACGTCACCGACTTTCTCACGTCTGAACTAGTAGATACCGCTGACACGTCAATGAGTCATATTGACGTCAATCCTGATCTGTCCACCGATAACCAGACTGCGCTGCGAGTGCTCTTGTTCGCGTTCAGGTATTGCTTCGCAAGTTGCTCAAGGATCCACCGGACGTCCATCACTCAACACAGGATCATCACGTACGAGGACGCACCCCCGATACACCAGAACCCCTACCGCGTGTCGGCTAAAGAACGTGAAGCGTTACGTACGCAAGTCCACGAGATGCTTGGCGATGGCGTTATTGAATCATCCAACAGCCTGTGGTCA